AGAAATCTTCGGTGTTCTTTGGCTTATGAATGCATTATTCTGATCTCTACTTTCATTGTCAAATGATGTTCTACCTGCAAATATGTCTTTGGAATTTCCGTAAGAAAAATAAGGACACCAGTGGTATTGAATTAGACAATCATTAACCCAATGCCCTCAGCTTACTTCATTGTATCGGTAATTATCCTGTTCCAAATAAAGTCACGTTTTGAGGTATAAGACGTAAGGAACTGAGCACACAAACTTTAGGAGGATACAGTTCAAGCAGTAGAACTCCACTCTTGACCTTCACTAATTCATATTCTGATGAAAGGTAAAATATAATCACCTCATCCTAATATCCCCCTGCCTCAACTCATTCGTCAAAATTAAGTCCAAAATCTTAACTAAATATCAAAATAAATATGGGTGAGACTCAGAATACAATTAATTCCATGGCAAAACTCCTTTCCATCTGTGAACCTGAAAAGCTAGAAAATATGTTATCTCTTTCAAAATACTATGATCTGACAGGCACAGCGTAGACATTTCCATTTTAAAAGAAAAGACCAGAAAGAAGAAAAGGGATACAAGTCCCAAACAAGTTCAAAAACTAATAAAGAAAATTAAATTAGATTTTAAGGCTCTTTGTATTCATGCTCAGCATACTTTGGTACAGCTGACAACATGTCAGCTGAGATGGTTGATGGTATCCACGTGTCATGTACGTAATCTGTTTAGCCTGTGGTTATCCAGTATCCAGAAACACATCTCTCTTGGTATTCTCTCTAGAGTCTCTCTCTCTTTGCAATGTGAATAGGCTAAGGAGTTTTCAAATGGTTGTATTCAAACTCTCATTTATTTTTCTCAAAATTTCTCTTAGGTTTATCTCTCTCCTCATTTTATTTTAAACAATAAGAAGAAATTAGGGTATTCCTTCAACACTGTGCTTAGGGATCTCCTCAGCTAAACATCTGAGTTCATCACTTACGGATTCTACTATTTATTCAACAGAATACAATACAGCCAGAGAGCCAAGTCCTCTCTCACTATATAATGAGAATTGCCTTTCTTCCCATTTTCTGCCCATATACATGATCTCCATCTGAGACCTCATCAGAAGCACCTTTAGCATTTATATTTCTATCAAACATTCTGTTGATGATGACATGTTTATTCTAAAAGATAATAGAGGCTTTCTCTTTGACTGTCCTCCTTTCTTTCTAAGCCCATACTAGAACCTCCTTTAATGTCCACACCTACTAATAATCTCTTCAAGGCAAACTACACTTTTTATATTACACTTCTCATTCTTTCAGTTTATACCCATTATATTATACATCTTATTCTTCCAGCTGATACCGATTTTCTAATTCCAAAGCCATCTCCACATTTTTAGGTATTTGTTACAATAGTACCCTATGTCACCTTTCCAAGCTATTACTTTTCTAGGGCCTCTAAAAGAAAAGACCACAAATTGGGTGTCTTAAACAACATGAATTTGTGGTTTCACAGCTCTGGAGGCTATGAGTCCAAGATCAAGTGTCAGCAGATTTGATTCCTTCTGATGGCTGTGGAAGAATTTGTCCTGTGCTTACTTCATAGGTTCTAGTGGTTTGAGGAAAATCTTCAGTGTTCTTTGGCTTAAAAATGCATAATCTTAATATCTGTTTTTATGTTCACAAGGTGTTCTCCATAGCATGTCCTTCTCTGTGTTCAAATTTTTCCTTTTTATAAGGTATAGTCATATTAAATTGAGATCCACTCAAAAGATTATCTTAATTTGCTCATTTGCCAGGAAGATGCTATTTTAAAATTCACAGGTATTGCAGCTTTCTATCTAATAAAAAAAATGACTAGTCAATTTCAACAAATTATACTGGGACAACTGGATAGTCACATAAAAATGAATAAACTTGATTCATATTTCATATCATATAAAAAAATTAGTTCAAAATGGATCCACAATCTTTTTCTTCCTTTTTTCTTTT